AAGAAAAAATGAGTTCAAATTGAATTGTCAGGGCAAGAATTAAAGAATCAGTCTGGCATTTCCATTCTTGACAAACAAAAGAAATTGTGTAAGATTGTCACTGTTGATAAAACTGGGTCTCATTATTGTAATCTAAAGACCTAAAAATGTTCGTTGGATCCAGGATAACTGGTAGCCTCAACAGCAAAGTGTAATATTTTAGAAGAAAAGTATTTAATCTATATTTAAGCTAGCTTCTGTGAAGGACTCTTTGTTTGGCCATCATCACAATAGCTATGAAAGAGTAGATGCGATAGGCATCAATGAACTACGGAAGAACTCAAAATTCATCACTGCTGTATTGGATTAATGTTTAAGCTTACCTTTTAAAAGTTCAACGATAATTCTTCTACTGCCACTTAAGTCAAAGACGATTTGATGTCTGTAGATCCTTATTTTCCTTAGAAAAAATTATTTTTATTTCATGGGTTACAGAACAGGGGACAATTTATGAGATAAAATTAATATAAGGTAAAGATGAGAAAATAGAAATTAGAATTAGTTATACATTCAACATTTGAAGAGTTAGAGAAAAGATAATAGCTAATTAAGTAAAACCTATATTATGGAATATAATATATTTCTCCATATTTATTTTGGGATGTATTTTTTTCCACTATCCTTGGACGGATCTCAGGGAGTTTTTGATTGGGTACTTAATAAGAAGGATATCATGGTGGACGAGAAAAATTGAGAAATGGCGACCAGTGTACATGGATTTTGAATTGCACGGTTGAGCGCTCCGCGATCATTATTGCCCGAGCGCAAAGCAATGCACTCGCGAGATTGCGAGGTACCTGCTAAGTATTTTATATATTTAAAAAAATGGAAATCAGAGACATTTGAACTATTTCTATATATTGAATTTTTTTTCCTATGTTTCCTATAAATTTGTGGTATGTCTAGTATTGAATGCTGAAGGATGAGGCTTTGTGGTGAATGAGCAAATTGTAATGAATCAATGGCTTTTGAATCAGATTACTTGCCACATTTCTCCTTTACCTTTCTTCTAGAATTCTTTTAATTAAAACAATAAATATATATTCAGTGAACATATTTTGCGTCGCTATGATCACCCCAGTTACCAGGTTTTACTGTATTAGAATTTATTTGTTTTTTTTACAACTGACCTGTAAGATCGTTTGTTTTAGTTTTACTTTCTATTTTTGCTTATCTAAATTTATATTTTTCAACTTTGATTTCCTATTCTCTTTTATTTTTTATCAATTGATAGTTTAGGCGTCAGTACTGTCAAAGAGGCAGTAAAAATTGTATGTTTAATAATGACTTCATAATCTCCGAGTATAAATCTCGATTTATTTTTTGTTTCTCCTATCTTTTTACTAAAATTATTTTTTCGATATTTGTGTGTTTAATTATGTACTTTTTCGTAATCTCTCTTGCTTTCTCGTGTTTTTTGTTAACAAAAGTTTTTATATATATATATATATATATATATATATATATATATATATATATATATATATATATATATATAGTTATAGTTTTTTAGCTTATAAAACACGTACTGTATGTGGTTATATACGTATATTGTATATGTTCCAAAGGTTTTCATATCTGAGGGTGATAGTGAAAACTACTACCACTGTGAAAGTGTATAGAAAGAGAAAGGGAGAGAAAGAAAAATCTCATTCAATTTTAACTAAATTATTTTAAAATTATTTTCAATCTGAATTCTGGGAGAAGCATTTTTCCTAATTAAAGTATATATACATATACAAGCATATATATAGTTATTTTTTTAGCTTATAAAACACATACTGTATGTGGTTATATACGTATATTGTATATGTTCCAAAGGTTTTCATATCTGAGGGTGATAGTGAGAACTACCACTGTCTATAAAATGCTTCCGGGGCATGCGTCTCAAATAGCCTCTAAGTCCAGCTCCAAGCCAGAGAATTGGCGAAGGCGGAAAACTGGCGCCTCATAACCAGCTGTTTCGAGTAGATGAATTTCGACAACCCAAGCAGGTAGTTCATCTAGGGGAAGGAAAACCCTGATTTTAAATCTCCGCTACCTTGCGGTCATATACAAATATAGAAAACGCCATGGAAGTAAATCCAGACAGAAAACTTAGAGTGGAGCCTTGATGGCGGTTGGTTGTCAACACAGTCATCTTTCCGGGAACTCCTGTAGCCAGTCGCCAAACTCAATACTCTGTATTCCTTTGGATCTTGTAGGTATAGCCGAGAAGGGGATCATGTAATCTGAACTGCGTATAGCCTCCATATACTATTTCCCAGATGACTGAATTTTGACCAAAGAAAGCTATACCTTTATCTCGCGAGATAAACAAATGCCTACTACTACTACTAGTTACTACTCCCTCTATTTCTGTTGTAATTGTTGTTCATGGTAACATTCGAGGCAAAATAGTGCAGTGGCTTGCCGGTTCCTTTTACACTGGGGATGTTGTGGTTACTCTGTTCTTCCTCTCATAAGTTCCTTTGTCCACTGGTAAAGCGGTTGACCTCTGAGACGCATCTGCTAGGACCAGAGTTTCGATTGGCCGATGGTCGCTTGGCACAGCTGGGTTGAGGAGAGGCGTTCCCCTTTCCCTGGCCAAATCGTTTTTTATTTACATAGAGACACTCACTAGTTCTATGAAACTCGCTACTTGTCTACCTACACGGATGATGACTTAAGAAAGTTGAAAGCATGAATCATATTTCTTGTACTTTTCTTCCAAAATGAATTTTTGACGGAATTACCTCCTCGTCTGAGAACGAATTATTCATAATTTGGAAAAGTCAATCATTAAAATTAATCAACACAAAAATTTTTTCGCTGTAATAGTATTTGCATAAAGAACATTTGCTGCCTAAATACACGACAGACCAAGCGTTTGGGGTCACCGTCTTGATTTTGAATAATCGCCTGGAAGTTAAAGGTTGATGCTTTGTTCAATAGTAATTTACTACTTCCCTTTGGACCAAAGGGACTTTCTATGCCTGATTGGTTTTATCATGTATTGAATTATAATAATAATAATAATAATAATAATGACAATAATAATAATAAGGAAATACAAGGACCTTGAAATAGAAATCTCGAAAATGTGGCATATGGGAACATCAACAATCCCTGTTGTAGTTGGAGCCCTAGGACTGGTTGGAAAAGATTGCAGTAGACTAATTGAAGGGATTCCTGGAAGTCCATGCCTCAAGGAGATACAAAAAATTTTTCTGACAAGTACAGCCCACACTTTACGAAGGGCTTTATCTATGTAATTTTTTTTTTTTTTTTTTTTTGTCAGTGGAAAGTGTCATGATGCCATTTCTAACCTTAGGTCTCTGGGCGGAACCCGGAAAGAAATGTGTAAACGCCAGAAATCAAAGAAGATAATAATAATGATAATGATAATGATAAAGTAATTAAGCCATGAGTGCATAAAGTTTCTATAAAATTTTAGCTCTTTTTTTTTTTTTACTAATCTAACTTAGTTAATTATAATCTTAGAAATTGCGGATTTTAAAATTTAAATAAGCCCCCTCTATAAAAGATTGAATACCATGCACAAATAGGTTAAATTTTTTCAGCATACTAGCTTAGTAATTTATTTTGGATAAATGGCCTGTATTGGTGCAAAATATAATGAGAATAAGAGGAAAAGTACAGCTTTGGAGTTATTGCAAAAAATTCAAATTTTAAACAGACTAGACGCTGATGAATGTTTATTGAAACTAATGGCTGAGTTCAACACAGGAAATTCGACATTGTACGATATAAAATCTTCCAAAGATCTATTCTCCTGCGTTAACACTGTCACAATGAACAAGGAAATAAAAACATGATCGTAATGAAACCTGGACTGAAATTGAAAAAGCTGTTGAAAAGTTTGTCATTTTTACGGAAAGAAAGCCAGTATTTGGCTATGCCAAATGAAATAACACATGCGGAGTTTAAAATACCTTTCGTTTAAAAAATTTCAAGACAAAAGCAAAACGAAATGTGGAAAAAGTTAAGAATGACATTAGAAGAGAAAGAATCATCATGCAACAGCGATTAAAAATATCCTTGTTACATTATTTGTTTTGCATACGTGGCAAACTTAATTTAATGAATTTTCATTAACATTACATAATTTAATTATTTTCTTAAAAATCAATTCAGTTATATTTCACTCATCCTTAGCTTATTTTGTTTACTATAAAACATTGAAAATAAATGTTAAACTTGATTTCAGTTCTTTTATTTTCATCTAAATATAACCCCTCATATCCGGACTTTGTAACCAATTCCTCATACCCAGAAGAACTTCTTAGTCCGGTCGTTAGGGATTCTACTGTATGTTACATATTAAATAATTTTAAATGAAAATACTCTGAGAACTTTAAACACTTAAAAGCACGGAAAAGCACGGCCAGTGTTCTAACATTTCTATTTTTGTACATTTCTTAACAAGATACTTATTTAAAATGCTAATAGCTTACCCCCCCCCACAAAAAACCCCAGTTCCAACAGTTTCTGTTGAAGTAGCGTATCAGTTATCCACGCGAAAAATGGTATCATCAAATTTCGATCGAGCCCCTTTTGTACTAGTAGTCTTGGGAAAAACATGAATCTATATCTTTTCCCCGAAGCTAATCTATGATCTCTAACCTTGGGTTTTTTCCATTTCATATGAAGGACAAACCGAATTTAAAACACTGGATAAGGTAATGGAAAACTACTCCAATATCTTTCCAATGAAGTCATAGCAATTCAAAGATAATAAAAAATGAATACCTGGAGAACCATGATATACCCTGAAGGCAGATGATATAAAAAACGAACATGACTCCATCTTTAGCCTTATATACTTGGCGGGAACAGAATGCTATATTCATATTTTTGTTGAAACTTTTGATGCAATGCTATCCAAGTAATGTCCAAAGGAAAAATCCTGTGTCTCCGACGACCTTGTGTCCATTGTGATAGGATCTGTCAAGTTCACATTACATACGGGTATTTATTCTGTATGACACTTTAAACCAAATGCCATGACACGGAGATTCTGCCAGAAAGGCGTGTAAGGCTGTAAGGAAGAGGGGGAAAAGGGAAGCAGTGAGGACGTTGAGACAGAAGGATTTGCTAAGAAGAGACGAGAAAGAAGAGGGGAAAGGGGAAAATTCGAATTTAAGAAAAGTTGGAAATATTATAGAAAGAAAAAATGAATCGGTATTTCCAGGAAAGAAAGCGAACAAAAGAAAAAAACAGGAGAAAGAAAGAAGCAAAAGAAAAGACGAAATGAAAAAGAATGGCGGAACGGCAAAAAGAAAGAAAAAGAAGCAAAAAAAAAAGACGAAATGAAAAAAGAATGGCGGAACGGCAAAAAAGAAAGAAAGAGAAAGAAAAGAACGAACGGACGGAAGACAGAAAAAAAAGAAAAAGAAAGAACGAACGAACGGACGGAAGACAGAAAGAAAGAAAGAAAGAACGGACGGAAGAAAGACAAAAAACGAAAGAAAAAGAAAGAAAAACAACGAACGGACGGAAGACAGAAAGAAAGAAAAAGAAAAAACGAACGGAAGACAGAAGAAAGAAAAACGAAAGAAAGAAAGAAAAGAAAAGAACGAACGGACGGAAGACAGAAAGAAAGAAAGAAAGAACGAACGGAAGACAGAAAGAAAGAAAGAAGAACGGACGGAAACAGAAAGAAAGAAAAAAAAACGGACGAACGGACGGAAGACAGAAAGAAAGAAAAAAGAAAAACGAACGGACGGAAGACAGAAAGGAAAGAAAGAACGGACGGAAGACAAAAAGAACGAACGGACGGAAGACAGAAAGAAAGAAAGAAAGAACGAACGGACGGAAAGAAAAAGAAAGAACGAACGGACGAAAGAAAGAAAGAACGAACGGACGGAAGACAGAAAGAAAGAAAGAACGAACGGACGGAAGAAGAAAAAAAGAAAGAAAGAACGAACGAAAAGAAAGAAAGACGGAAAAGAAAGAAAGAAAACAACGAACGGACGGAAGACAGAAAGAAAAACGAACGGAAAGAAAAAGAAAGAAAGAACGAACGGACGGAAGAGAAAGAAAAAAGAAAGAAAAGAAAGAAAAAGAAAAACAAAACGGACGGACAGAAAGACAGAAAGAAAAACGGAAAGACAGAAAAAGAAAGAACGAACGGACGGAAGAAAGAAAGAAAGAAAGAAAGAACGAACGGACGGAAGACAGAAAGAAAGAAAACGAACGGACGGAAGAAAAAGAAAGAAAAAACGAACGGACGGAAGAAAAAAAGAAAGAAAGAACGAACGGACGGAAGACAGAAAGAAAGAAAAGAACGAAAAGGACGGAAGAAGAAAGGAAGAAAGAAAAGAACGAACGGAAAGAAAGAAAGAACGAACGGACGGAAGACAGAAAGAAAAGAAAACGAAAGAACGAAAAAGAACGAACGACGGAAGACAAAAGAAAGAAAGAACGAACGGACGGAAGACAGAAAGAAAGAAAAAAAACGAACGAACGGAAGACGGAAGAAAGAAAGAAAAGAAAGAAAGAACGAACGGACGGAAGACAGAAAGAAAGAAAGAACGAACGGACGGAAGACAGAAAGAAAGAAAGAACGAACGGACGGAAGACAGAAAGAAAGAAAGAACGAACGGACGGAAGACAGAAAGAAAGAAAGAAAGAACGAACGGACGGAAGACAGAAAGAAAGAAAGAAAGAACGAACGGACGGAAGACAGAAAGAAAGAAAAAACGAAAGAAAGAAAGAACGGACGGACGGACGGAAGACAGAAAAGAAAAGAAAAGAAAGAAAGACAGAAAAAAAGAAAGAACGAACGACGGAAGACAAAAAAGAAAGAAAAAAAAGAAAGAACGGACAGAACGGACGGAAGACAACGGAAAGAAAAAGAAAGAAAGAACGGACGGAAGACGGAAAGAAAGAACGAACGGAAAAGAAAGAAAAAAAAAAGAACGAACGGACGGAAGACAGAAAAAAAGAAAGAAAAAGAACGAACGGACGGAAGACAGAAAAAAAAAGAAAAAACGAACGGAACAGAAAGGAAGACAGAAAGACAAAGAAAGAAAAGAACGAACGGACGGAAGACAGAAAGAAAAAAAAAAGAACGAACGGACGGAAGACAGAAAGAAAGAAAGAACGAACGGACGGAAGACAGAAAGAAAGAAAGAACGAACGGACGGAAGACAGAAAGAAAGAAAGAACGAACGGACGGAAGACAGAAAGAAAGAAAGAAAACGGACGGAAGAAGAAAAGGAAAGAACGGAAGACGGAAGAAGAAAGAAAGAAAGAACGAACGGACGGAAGACAGAAAGAAAGAAAGAACGAACGGACGGAAGACAGAAAAAAGAAAAAGAACGAACGAAGAAAGAAGAAGAAAAAGAAAAAGAAAGAACGAACGGACGGAAGACAGAAAGAAAGAAAGAACGAACGGACGGAAGACAGAAAGAAAGAAAGAACGAACGGACGGAAGAAGAAAAAAAAGAAAACGAACGAAAGACAGAAAGAAAGAAAGAACGAACGGACGGAAAGAAAGAAACGGAAGAAAAAAGAAAGAAAGAACGACGGAAGGAAGAAAGAAAGAAAACGAACGGACGGAAGAACAGAAAAGAAAAAGAAAGAACGGAACGGACGAAAGAAAGAAAGAAGAAAGAACGAACGGACGGAAGAACGAAAAGAAAGAAAGAACGAAGGAAGAAAGAAAGAAAGAAAGAAAGAACGGACGGAAAGAAAGAAAGAAAGAAAGAACGGACGGAAGAAAGAAAGAAAGAAAGAACGGACGGAAAGAAAGAAAGAAAGAAAGAACGGACGGAAGAAAAAGAAAAAAGAAAAAGAACGGAAGAAGAAAGAAAGAAAGAAAGAAAGAAACGAACGGACGGAAGACAGAAAGAAAGAAAAAAACGAACGGACGGAAGAACGGAAACGGAAGAAAGACAGAAAGAAAGAAAGAACGAACGGACGGAAGAAGAAAGAAAGAAAAAAGAACGGACGGAAGAAACAGAAAGAAAGAAAGAACGGAAGAACGGACGGAAGAAAGAAACAGAAAGAAAGAAAAGAACGGAAGAACGGACGGAAGAAAGAAAAAAGAAAGAAAAGAAAGAACGAACGGACGGAAGACGGAAGAAAGAAAGAAAGAAAACGGACGAACGGAAGAAAAAGAACGGACGGAAGACAGAAAGAAAGAAAGAACGAACGGACGGAAGACAGAACGAACGGAAGAAAGAAAGAAAGAAAGAAAGAACGAACGGACGGAAGAAAAAGAGAAAGAACGAAAAGAACGGACGGAAGAAAAAGAAAGAACGGAAAGAACGAAAGGAACGGACGGAAGAAAGAAAGAAAGAAAGAACGAACGGACGGAAGACAGAAAAAAGAAAGAACGAACGGACGGACGACAGAAAAGAAAGAAAACGAACGGACGGAAGACAACGGAAAAAGAAAAAAGAACGAACGGAAGAACGGACGGAAGAAAGAAGAAGAAAGAAAAAAGAACGAACGGACGGAAGACAGAAAGAAAGAAAGAACGGACGGAAGAAACAGAAAGAAAAAAAGAACGAACGGACGGAAGACAGAAAGAAAGAAAGAACGAACGGACGGAAGAAAGAAAGAAAGAACGAACGGACGGAAGACAGAAAGAAAAAAGAACGAACGGACGGAAGACAGAAAAAAAGAAAGAACGAACGGACGAAAGAAAAAAAGAAAGAATGAACGGACGGAAGACAGAAAGAAAGAAAGAACGAACGGACGGAAGAAGAAAGAAAGAAAGAACGAACGGACGGAAGACAGAAAGAAAAGAAAGAACGGACGGAAGAAAAAAGAAAAAAAAGAACAACGGACGGAAGAAAGAAAGAAAGAAAAGAACGAACGGACGGAAGAAAAAAAAGAAAGAACGAACGGACGGAAGAAAGAAAGAAAGAACGGACGGAAGAAAAAAGAAAGAAAGAACGAACGGACGGAAGAAAGAAAGAAAGAACGAACGGACGGAAGAAAAAAAGAACGAAAACGGAAGACGGAAGAAAAAAACGAACGGACGGACGGAAGAAAGAAAAACGAACGGACGGAAAGAAAGAAAAAGAAAGAAAAACGAACGGACGAAAGAACGGAAGAAAGAAAAGAAAGAAAAGAACGGAACGGACGGAAGAAAGAAAGAACGGGTGAACGAAAGACGGAAGAAAGAAAGAATGAACGGACGGACGGAAGAAAGAAAGAAAAAAGAAAGAACGAACGGAAGAAAGGAAGAAAGAAAAAAACGAACGACGGAAGACGGAAGGAAAAAGAAAGAATGAACGGAAGGACGGAAGGAAAACGAAAGAAAGAACGGACGGACGGAAGAAAGAAAAAAGAAAGAACGGAAGAACGGACGGAAGAAAGAAAGAACGGAAGAACGGACGGAAGAAAGAAAGAAAGAACGGAAGAACGGACGGAAGAACGGACGGAAGAAAGAAAGAAAGAACGGAAGAACGGACGGAAGAAAGAAAGAAAGAACGGAAGAACGGACGGAAGAAAGAAAGAAAGAACGGACGGAAGAAAGAACGAACAAAGAAAGAAAGAAAGAAAGAACGGACGGACGGAAGAAAGAAAGAATGAACGGACGGAAGAAAGAAAGAATGAACGGACGGACGGAAGAAAGAAAGAATGAACGGACGGACGGAAGAAAGAATGAACGGACGGACGGAAGAAAGAAATAAGGAAAACTGAAGGAAGGACGAAGACTAAAGAAAGAACGTACGAAAGAAATAAATAAAGAAAAATCTAAAAATATTTTTTTACATGGTGCAGCAGAAGTACCTCCGACATAATGACATGACAGTAGATAGATTAAGACACCATTGCTAATAATGTCTTACCATTATGTGGGAGACATTTCTACTGCACCGTGTAGAAAATGCAAATAAACTAAATAAAATGAAAGTGTTTGAAAAATATCAATGGAGGTCAGGAAAAACGAAAAACAAAAAAAAAACAAAAACCGAATTAAGGAAAAAAGATTTTTTGTTAAATAAAAAGAAACTCTTGATAAATAAAAAAAAAGGTCTGAAACCGAAATAAACGGAGATAAAGAGAAAGAAAGAACATTTTGCATGAAAACAGAGATAAACACTTTATGAAAAAGGCTTACAAGAAATGAATGGAAAATGAAGGAAAAGGAGAAAAAGAAAGAAAGAAAAAGAAGGAAAACAGAAGGAATGAAAAAGAGAATGAAAAAGAAAGAAAGAAAAATGAGTGAAGGAAAAAGAATGAAAGAAAAAACAGAGAAAGAAAAAGAGAGAAGGAAAAAGAATGATACAAAAAGAATGAAAGGAAAAAGAGAGAAGGAAAAAGAAAAGAAAAAAGAAGGAAGAAGAATGAAAAAAAAGAGAGAAGGAAAAAGAATGAAAGAAAAAAGAAGGAAAAATTGAAAGAAAAAACAGAAAAAGAGAGGAGGAAAAAGAATGATACAAAAAGAATGAAAGGAAAAAGAGAGAAGGAAAAAGAAAAGAAAAAAGAAAGAAAGAAGAAGAATGAAAAAAAGAGAGAAGGAAGAAGAAGGAAAGAAAAAAGAAGCAAAGAAAAAAGAGAGAAGGAAAAAGCAGCAAAGAAAAAAGGAAAAAGCATAGAAAAAAAGAGAGAAGGAAAAGAAGGGAAGAAAAATGAGAAGGAAAAAGAATGAAAGAAAAAAGAGAAGAAAAAAGAAGGAAAGAAAAAAGAGTAGGAAAAAGAATGAGAGAAATAAAGAATAAAGAGAGAAGAAAAAAGAATTAAAGAATAAAGAGAATGAAAAAGAAGGAAAGAAAAAAGAAGGGAAATGAAGAAAAGAAAAGAAGGATGAAGAAGGAAAGAAAAAAGAGAATGAAAAAGAAGGAAAGAAAAAAGTGAAGGAAAAAGGAGGAAAGAAAAAAGAGAAGGAAAATGAAGAGAAGGAAAAGAAGGAAAGAAAAAAGAGAAGGAAAAAGAAGGAAAGAAAAAAGTGAAAAATGAAGGAAAAGAAAAAAAGAAAAAGAAAGGAAAAGAAGGAAAGAAAAAGAGAAGGAAAAGAAGGAAAGAAAAAGAGAAGGAAAAGAAGGAAAGAAAAAGAGAAGGAAAAGAAGGAAAGAAAAAGAGAAGGAAAAGAAGGAAAGAAAAAGAGAAGGAAAAGAAGGAAAGAAAAAAGAGAAGGAAAAAGAAGGAAAGAAAAAAAGAGAAGGAAAGAAAAAGAGAAGGAAAAGAAGGAAAGAAAAAGAGAAGGAAAAGAGGGAAAGAAAAAGAGAAGGAAAAAGAGGGAAAGAAAAAGAGAAGGAAAAAGAGGGAAAGAAAAAGAGAAGGAAAAAAAGGGAAAAAAAGAAGGAAAAAAGGGAAAGAAAAAAGAGAGGAGGAAAAGAATGAAAGAAAAAAGAGAGAAGAGAAGGGAAAAGAAGTAAAGAAAAAAGACAGAAGGAAAAAGAATGAAAGAAAAAAGGAAAAAGAATGAAAGAAAAAAGGAAAGAATGAAAGAAAAAATGAAAGAAAAAGGAAAAAGAAAGGAAAAAGAAAGGAAAAGAAAGGAAAAAGAAAGGAAAAAGAAAGAAAGAGAAGATGGAAGGACGTAAACATGGAATGAAATAAAGAATGGAAAGTAAGGAAGAGAAAGGGATAAAAGAAACCAGGAATGAAAAGGAAAAAAGCGACGAGAATTAGGGGAATAGAAAGAAAAGAAAATGATGACACTGCATAAAGAATTCTCTGTCTCCAGCTTCGAAATTGCTTCCGCTTCCCATGTTATCTGATGTGGATCTTTCATATTAAGAAGTCGAGGTAAGATTCGTTTATATCAACAAAGGATTGAATCTTGTAACTACAGAAAGATATCAATAATCTCGAAGGTCAATGTCCCGACAGCAAATATGTAAAATGAATACAATTATATAACACAAATGTTACGCACAGACTAATGGTTAAGTGTCAGCATTGTGGGCAAACGGAGTTACGATCTAATGAAAATATCTGTTAAGAATCGTGGCATTCACAGCTTGCGATTAGTAATTGTTATATATATATATATAATGCCTTTAGATTCCTTGAGGAACATAGAACCACAAGATATCGGTGCGGTTTTTGTAACAAACCGGTTTTTAAATGAGTAGGTTGTTTGCCTACTGCACAACCCCCAACCTGTAGGATCATTTTTCAATTCAGAGTTGTCCTTCTCCTAGACTAGTTGCCACCCAAGGCTATCCTGCTGTTTACCCATTGGTGGGAGGAGAAGAAGGGGATTCATACGTTTCTCAAGGTTATTAGCACATGAATGAATGTCATGGATTCAACTCAATTCGATTCATCAACCCGTGTCGCTATCCATTACTACACCGTGCCTCCCCAGTTTAAACGACCTGTTAATTTTTAAATGATGTTTACAAATTAAAAAAGAAACGTATATTTTGAACAGCTTCAGGGATTTTTTCTTTTAATAGAAAATCATCAGAGGTTCGAATTCTGTAAATCAGTTATCATTCATAAACATAGTCTTTTAATTCCACTGTGGAGATCTGTATATACAGATTGTCCCAAAAATTATGGTCCCCATAGAAAAAAACGTAAAAGAACATTTTTAGGTAATTTATCCAATTCGATTCCTGTCACCTCGATGGCTGTAAAATTATCAAATTTCATGTCGAAATTGTTTGTCTACTTAACTCTTTGTTCGTAAATATATCAAGTTTAAAAACAAAACGATTCATATAAATTGTGGTTAAAGAATTGTTCTAGAAAACGTTTAACAGGATTCTTATGTATTTGCTATAGACAATATTCGATAATAAAGAAATAACAAATCAGATGAAGACATGGATTCATTTTCAACACCTTATCAACCCGTTACAGATTATTTAAAGTCAGAAATATTTTTAGATTGGAAGAATTTCTTTTTGGGGTGGGAAGATAATAATGGTTTAATGATACAAATCTTACTAATTAATATACAGCTGGAAGGGGAGACGAGGTGGATTCATCCATTTCCCATAACAATTCGGAGCCATTATCCATTACACCGCCCGCACATCAAAGTTTACAGCACCAAGCGATCTAGGTAATGGCCGGGATCAATGTTGCTTAACTTTGGTGATCATACGGGAACCGTTAGTTTCAATGTGATGTGGCCGTAAGTCGGCAGATGAAGAAAATATTTGCAAATAGAAAGTTTACTGAAACTAAATTATTGAAAATTTTAATTTATATCAAGATTATGATTTAAAAAAAAAATCTTCTCAAATTTTTAAATACTTTTAAGCAATTTTCCTTATATAGACTAGATGTTAATATTTTAAAATATAGGTCAACATTAATTTAACTGTCTTCTTGAACCTGACACTCCTACATCTATTACCATGATATTGGGAGTTTATTTAATTTTATGTCCAGATTTACGTTGCAACTTCCTTTTTATTCTTTTTTATCGCTGTCTTTTTTCATTTTTCTTTTCCCTCATCCTTTCTTTTATTCTTTAAATGTTTAAAATTTTAAGTTCCTATTTTATTTTTTCACACCTCTATGCTAACAAGGCCTAAAAGTAAATCTTGTGGGTCGAAATAGCTATTCAAATGAGGTGATTTTGAATTTCCATTCTATGTTATAACAAATACACTGAACTCTTTTTGTGGATCAGTTTTGATATTTTATATTTTTAGGATTCACTTGGAATATTTACCCACAGATTATTACCTGTATTTTTTTTAAATTTATATTCAAAATTTGGAACATTAAATAACATTCTTTTTATGTATTTTATTTTATTTATTTGTGTTTTTAATTAGCGCCGTATCAACATTCCTATGGGTCATTAAATACCGAAATCTAAATACTTTGTATGCAATTTTTATTTTATTTTATTTGTTTGGAGATAATGGTTAGTCATAAGTAAATGGAAGCGAGTCTGAGTCATGCCTTTCCAAAGAATATTTGCGTAGAAAATATGTGAATATAAATTGAATATAACGACATCGACTGGAATTGAGACTGATCTCCGATTAACAATTCCAAGCCATTATCCATTACACCACCCGCACATCCAAGATAACATCTTTTATTAATTAAATTCGTGAATTATTGCTTATTTGATGTATAATCCTTCTTTTTTTTTTTTAATTGTCTAAAAAAATATGATCTGTCTATATTTCCGAGATGAGGTATTATGTACACTATTTCCATCTTTATTACAAAGAGTGTGAGTTCAATACCTGGTTAAGGCGGTGGAGAACTTGGAGAGGGAATTAAGCAGGAGATAACTGATAGCTGACATCCATTAGACATGGCACGTGGAACTAGAACAGTCTACCCCAGTCAGCGAAATAAAGGGTTAAGTTCGACATTCCAACCTCCTGAAGAAGGCCGGAGCGTACAACGGCCGAAATGTTTTAATAGATATGCGATGAGGACAATAGTCCAAATAATGTAAATAGTGTAAAAAAATATGATTTTGACAAGAATCTTCTCACTCTTTGACCGTGGAGTAAAACACGCCGGATAATTAATATATATGACCTTCACTATATATAAAAATGGAGCGTGTGACACTTCTTTTTTTTATTTTCATTAGTGGGATGCGTCTTCTTATTCTCTGTACCCCGTCCCTTCACAATCATTGTATCCTGCTAAAACTAGCATACAGCTTCAGTAAACCCAAACAGCAAAACCTTCAGAAGGTGCAATACGAAGAACATGAAATATGCTTCGTAAAACACAGTTAAATAAAAAAAAAAAGCACTATACTTTTGATACAACATACCAAGGAGAAATACCATCAGCCCATCACTACCCTACAGGAAGGCATCTAGTCGCCTGCCAATGGGCCGACAATGGCAACGGCAGCGGTCCTCTGGTATAAATCACCGGCAGGCATCTAGCAGTCCGCCAGTGATACCATTGTCGAGATGAAACCACCGGAGTTCGGACAGCAGGATACAAAGGGTAAACGCTAGTGGCATGCCACCCAGTGGCAGACTGGTGTCTTGCGTGTAGGGTACTTATATAGATTTGCTTCTCACGAATTTAATCACAATTCTGGCTTTGTGTTAAACTAAGTTATGCTTAGGCAATACTAATATCCCTAAATACTATAGCTTAAAATGTACAAATCTAATATTTCTGTCTTGCCACTGTGTCCGTGCAGCGTTACAATTTCCGTATGCTTCCCTAGAGTAAACAAGAAAATTAAGTCAAATCTCACGAGCAGTGTTTCAACTTCTACGGGGAGAATTAATCGCTGGTAATTTTTATTTTCGAGATGTTTGCCATTTTGTCCATATGAACCAGATGCACGATCTACCGACACTTGAAGCGTCAGTCTTTTTAGGATAAACGGATGACAGGTTTAATGAAGATAATTAGGTTGACTAACGGAAGAGGTCAAGTGTGTAATCGTCAACGGCGATGAAACCCTCACGTCAGCAACACGTCTAACTACCGTATCATAATTTGGTTGGTTGTCATTATATTCGAATAAAGTGTCGCTGCCGGCATTGGAGTTTGAACACAGATCACCAGAGAGCAAACTCAGGCGATCCCATTTTTAATAAGTAGATCAAGTGATGGCAAAGGCAATGTATATATGGGAATTAGAATGGTGTCTAGATGATCACTCTCTCTACTCTATCCTCTGTTACTATACGGATTACCATCTCTACTCTATCCTCTGTTACTATACGGATTACCATCTCTACTCTATCCTCTGTTACTATACGGATTACCATCTCTACTCTATCCTCTGTTACTATACGGCTCGGTATTCTCTAACTATTTCTCTATACTGATCAATATACGGATCACTATACGAATTATTCTTCAGTGGTTACTTTCTGAGAGAGTATTATCGAGCAAGTAATATTAGTGCGAGTGTTATTCGAAGGCGTCTGACACCAGTATTGTTCAACGGCGTTACTATAGTTGTATCTGCGATTACAAAGTCTCTACTACAACGAGCATTACGAAAGTGACAACGCGTATTCGTTGACATTACAAAATTGGCAACGAGTGTTCGTTGACATCACAATTTTTTTTTCTATCTATCAATCATACTCTGGATCCGCCCGTATTAGTGACTTAACCTTCATTTCTTTATTCTGTCATTCGTACATTCGATCCATCACTAAAGATGCTGGAAACATGGTCGGTTTTCTGTAGCGACCCATACAAATTAACTCTTCCTGCTGTCCTCCACTTTGAAAGACCCAGATCAGTACTGCTGACATATAGTTGCCCAGTCTTCATTTTCCAGTGTCCATAAATTTCAAACACGTTTCCGCGTCCTTGTGGTTGATGAATTATTTTCCACCCTACAACACCTATCCCTCAGACGAAACGTTACAAGCTTCTCGCTATTCTATCGCTATTTCCATGGCGAGTGTTCAGACGAACTACATTGTTTGGTTTCAACAGTTTTAACCTTCACAGCTAAGACCCAACCTGGCACGAGGGTTGTAGCGAAGCACCCTCATTTACTTCTCACTTTACTGGTGAGATGTAAGCTCAAATCAAAAAGCTTCTTCCCACAAACTTTGTAGAACCGACTCCCAAGTGGACGCTTCTCCGTTCACTACAATCTTAACTTGCCCATGTCTAGGATTAACCGTTATCTTCCACACGTATCCCCATAAACTGTACCTCTGACTCTCTAACCCTCTACCTCAAGTGGCTCTTGAGACTTGTAAAATAGTTTACCAGAAATAAAAATTGAAATCATTAACTAAGTTTTTTTATTCGGCGTCGACTATTTTTGCCTGCGACCTCATGACAAGGAAATATGGCTTT